ATAGAGGCGATCCTTAATGCTCTACACAAAAGAAGGCTCTTCTTAACAGATACATCATTCCCTCTTCCATCTCAATCCCATGTACGGTTCTTCAGATGTAAATGCTATCAAGTTAAATAGAGCTTACTCCCTGATCAATAGACACAGGATCACAGGCTAAGGCAGGACGTCCCGTATGTTACCTCCTTCCTTCTACATATGTTTCCCTTTTCCCCTACTCCCCTACTGCTTGCTTCAGGAACTATGCTCTCAGCCAGGTTTCCATCAAATTGCTGACCATCAACATTCCTGATGACTCAGTGCATAACCACCCTGTTCAGCGAATGACATTAACCTAGTAATCTATGACATTTGGTTGCACCAGCAATAATTAATGCAACTCTTACACAAAAGTGTGAACATCCTCATGTATTTACATAATGTGAGTTAGATGTCTCATTTGTAAATGGCAAACATGGGCCTGAAGTCAGCAAGATTAACTCAGGGTCCATCTACACCAGCGTTTCTCAACCTGGGGGTCGGGACATCTGGGGGGTCGCAAGGGGGATGACAGAGGGGTCGCCAAAGAAAACACAGTATTTTCTGTTGGTTATGGGAATTCTATGTGGGAAGTTTGGCCCAATTCTATTGTTGACGGGGTTCAGAATTTGATTGCAGGTGAACTATAAATCCCAGCAACTACAACTCCCAAATGTCAAGGTGTAGTTTTCTCACCAGTGTTCACATTTGGGCATATTGAGTATTTGTGCCAAGTGTGGTCCACTTTGTGCCAAGTGTGGTCCACCATTGTTTGAGTCCACAGTGCTTTCTGGATGTAGGTGAACTACTATTCCTAAACTCAAGTCCAGTGCCCACTAAACCCTTCCAGTAGTTTGTTTGTCACGAGAGTTCTGTGTGCCAAGTTTGGTTCAATTCCATCACTGGTGAAGTTCAGAATGCTCTTTGATTGTAGGTTAACTATACATCCCAGCAACTACAACTCCCAAATGACAAGATCAATTCTCCCCCAACCCCACCAGGATTCAAATTTGGGTATATCGAGTATTTGTGCAAAATTTGGTCCTGTGAATGAAAATACATCCTGCATATTAGGTATTTATATTGCGATTCATAACAATAACAAAATTACAGTTGTGAAGTAGCAACAAAAATAATTTTATGGTCACCACAACATGAGTGACTGTATTAAGGGGACGTGGCTTAATTAGGCGGTAAATCCAAAGATTAGTCAAACAAACCTAGTCAAAACCAGAATGTATGAATGGAATAGAGAGACTAACGCTGCTGCTTGTATAGGCGGAAAAAAGGAACTGGTGCTACTGCCCTACATGTGCCCTATATGTATTATGGGGAGGATGGGTGGGGCCATAGCCTAAGAGCCGCCGCAAACTAGCCTCCTGCGGGAGCAAACTGTGCCAGCACGTCCCTGACGTCATGAGACTGCGCCTCTCGCCCCGCCCCTTTCTCCGTGCCAGAGTGGTTTTTCTTTTGCTAGGGCAGCATTGCCAGCCTACTCTCATTGTTGGCAGAATTCAACAACGAGAGTACACTGGCAATGCTGCCCTAGCAAAGGAAAAACCACTCTGGCACGGAGAAAGGGGCGGGGCGAGAGGCGGAGTCTCATGACGTCAGGGACGAGCTGGCACAGTTTGCTCCCGCAGGAGGCTAGTTTGCGATGGGTCTTAAAGGTATAGAGAGCTTGTTATAGGGTCCGAGCTGCTACGCATGACCAAGAATTGCTACCATATCTGTGATTTCACAGAGACCACGCTGAAGAACCACTGATCTACACTAATTAATGTAATTTTAGACCACTTTAACTGCCATGGCTCAATGCTATGGGATCCTGGGAGTTGTAGTTTGGTGAGGCACCAGTACTCTTTGGCAAAGAAAGCTAAAGTCCTTGTAAAACTATAACTCCCATGATTCCATAGCATTGGGCATAGACATTTGTTGTGATAAACTGCATTAATTCTACTGTGTAGATATGCTCAGTTAACAAGTGGTATGCAACCATTCTTATTAATCATCGTCTGCAAACTAAACCAAGCAAATTCATAAATAATTTTAATAGCAATCAAGGTATGTAGGATAGTTAATACAACCACATTGTAATGCACTATAGTACAGCACAAATGCAAACGGCTATTTGAATTTTTTTTTTAAAAAACCCTCTTTTTCACTGATGCCAGATATAACGAACCTTTTGTCAGTCACTATTATTAAAGCTGCAGGAGCCCCTGCACAGTGGGTTAAACCCTTATGCTGGCAGGTCTGAAAACCAACAGGTCAGAGGTTCGAATCTGGGGAGAGCGTGGATGAGCACCCCTGTCAGCTCCAGCTCCCACTGCGGGGAAATGACAGAAGCCTCCCACAAGGATGGCAAAATATCAAAACATCCTGACGTTCCCTGGGCAACATCCTTGCAGATGGCCAATTCTCCCACATCAGAAGCGACTTGCAGTTTCTCACGTTGCTTCTGACACACACATACACAATGAGATGTTGAGGACTTGTGTTTTATTGTTTTTATTGTCTCTATTGTTTTTATATGGTTTATATTATATATTAATGTTTAAATTATATTTTATTTTGTTGGGGGCATTGAATTTTGCTGATTGTAAACTGCCCTGAGTTGCCTCCGGGCTGAGAAAGGCGGTATATAAATATGGTAAATAAATAAATAAAAGCTGCATTTCTATACACCTCTAGTTGGGAATAAATCCAGTTTATAACACTGAAATCTACTTCTGAGCAAGATGTATTGGACTCTAAATCTCCACTAAATGCCAAGAATTCTTACTTAATTGAAACCGATTCAATGGCTTCTACTCTTAAGAGAGCCAAACAGTCTAGTGGGCTCTGAGATTTCCTTTAGTAAAGTTCTTCTTTCCAAGTGATCACAGTGCTGCTGACCAGCCAACTACACTCAAGCTATTATTGCAGTAGTATTATTAGCAACAACTTTACTGCAAATCCCTCCCTTCTGTTTGCCCTAGATTTTGCATACTAAGTAAGGTCCTCCTCTGCCAAGATTCCACGGCTATAAAGGGTTTGGAAAAGGGAACTGCACGCCATGGATGTGCAGTGTTGCAACCTAAAGGGTTGTTGTCAAAGAAAAATGGCAATACTATTTTCTAAAAATAACCCCCAACCTATCCTTTTCCATTCTCTATGGATGCGATGGCTGCCTTGTTTTGCTGCAGGCAGTATAAAGACAGGTATAACCACAGACCATTAACCAAGAAAAATCTCACAGAAACAACAGCTGCTTAATGAAATAATGATTTCAGTTAAAATACCATTTTGAAGCCAACTTAATAGGAGCTCTCTTCCTATAATCCTGAGATAATCCATTTTAATATATGTGTAATGCTGCAATTAACCAGCAGTAATGCGACTATCTCGCACTTCACAGATTCCTAGATGGATGGCAGCTGCCTCTTTTTTTAAAAAAAATATTAATAATCTAGGTACAGTATATGTCTAAAAGTATTTTGGGCACAGGTATACTCAGATTGGGTTGCTGTGAGTTTTCCAGGATGTATGGCCATGTTTCAGAAGTATTCCCTCCTGATGTTTCACTCACATCAACGGCAGGCATCCTCAGAGGTTGTGAGGTACATATATTGGAAACTAGGCAAGGGAGGTATATCTGTGGAAAGTCCAGGGTGGGAGAAAGAACTCTTTATCTGTTGAAGGCAAGTGTTAATGTTGCAATTAATCAACTTGATTAGCACTGCAATGCCTTGCAGCTTTAAGGCTGGGCCGATTCCTGCCTGGGAGGATCCTTTGTTGAGAGGTGTTAGCTGGCCCTGATTGTTTCATGTCTGGAATTCCTGTTTTCTGAGTGTTGTTCTTTAGTTACTGTCTTAATTTTAGAGTTTTTTCAATACTGATAACCAGACTGTGCTCGTTTTCATTGTTTCCTCCTTTCTGTTGAAACTGTTCACATACTTGTGGATTTCAATGGCTTCTCTGTGTAGTCCAGTGGTTCTCAACCTGTGAGTCTCCAGGAGTTTTGGCCTACAACTCCCAAGAATTCCCAACCAGTTTACCAGCTGTTAGGATTTCTGGGAGTTGAAGGCCAAAACATCTGAGGACCCACAGGTTGAGAACCACTTGTGTAGTCTGACATAGTTGTGGTTAGAGTGGTCCAGCATTTCTGTATTCTCAAATAATATGCTATGTCCAGGTTGGTTCATCAAGAGTTCTGCTATGGCTGACTGAATTAGTCTGCAATGCCTTTCATGTTCCTTGCTTCGTGTTTGGTGGTCCCTACATAGACCTGTCCGCAGCTGCATGGTATACAGCTGGACCTTCCACAGATATATAAACCCCACTTGCCTAGTTTCCAACAGACTTAACAACCTCTGAGGATGCCTGCCATAGATGTGGGTGAAATGTCAGGAGAGAATGCTTCTGGAATATGGCCATACAGTTTGGAAAAAACACAGCAACCCAGTAATTCTGGCCATGAAAGCCTTCGACAACACATTATACACAGATTGTCTTTTACAATAATAATAATAATAATAATAATAATAATAATAATAATAATAATAAACAAGATATAAAACTGATGAGTAAAAGGAGTTTGCTTAAAGACCTAGCCGTCACAATTTAGAAAATCTACCGTTACTAACAGTAGGCTCCATTTCACAAGCATCAAGAATGGGTAAGGATGGACAGAAAAATGTAAGATTTCTATTAGTAAACGAAGTGGTCATAAACATTATTTCTGGGGTTTAATAAATAACACATGCATAATATATATCTTAGCTATACACCTGGCGATCAAGTATTTCACCTCACTTTGACTTTTGGTTGCTTGTATATGAAAGAGAAGGAAAGAAGTAACTTACACCAATCACAGGCAGAAAAGGAAGAGCAAGAAAAAAAATCCAGCACACACTTCAAATGAGAAAACGAAAGCAAGCAAAGGCATTGCAAGGAGGCAACCCAAACAAGCAAGGGAAAAGGAGGAGAAATGAACTTACTTTTCATAGACCAGCTCCTCATCGGTACAGAAATAGTGGGTGTTAACTGTGCTTTTGGGTCTGTTCCGTAAAGTAGCAAAATAAAGTCGGTCTGAAGAGGGAGAAAAGGGGAGATGTTTTGAGTGGCAATGAGCGGCTTGTGTCATCTCTCACAATTCAACCTGAGCATACCATTTATTGCAACACCCTCTCTAGACAGAAAATGAAGTTTGAAGCTGGAAAGTCCCAACGGAAAGCTGATTGGATGAACGGAGGACGAATTCATCCCAATAGTTTACTCGAGAACGAACCAAAACTTATGCAAAGGGATCTTGTAACAACCTTTTGATATTGAGAGAAAGGAGCTCTTTCTTTTCAGTCTCAAAGGCAGTCTTCTCGGTTAGTTTCAACTTCTTTCTCCCGGTCTCAAATATGCGAAAAAGATCCCTCTGCATAGTGATCATCTAGGTAAAATTCTTGAAAACAGACACTGAGGATGCAATAAATGCAGTTTGACTCTGCTCTAACCACCATTACTCCATCCTATGGAATCCTGGGAATTGTAGTTTGTTGAGGGACCAAAGCTCCTTTTTTTCAGAAAAGGCTTAAAAGTCTTGTAAAACTACAATTCCCAGTATTCCCTAGCATTGAACTAGATAGTCAAATTACTTAATCACACTAGAGAATAAATCCACTTAAAATCCAGTTTCTGCCTCCTGCAGAATTCTGGGGTTTGTGGTTTAGTGAGGTTGTTAAAGGTTCCTCCTTAAACTACAAACCCCAGAATTCTGCAGGAGGCAGAAATCAGATTTAAAGTGGTTTCATTCATTCTCTAGTGTGATGAGACCCAAAGTGGTGTCAAAATGCATTCATTCTACAGGACAGATGTGCCCTTAGTCTCAGGACTTTTGGGGCTGCAGGAGGCGTCATGTAACTACAAAATTATAGCAGTTTGACACCACTTTAATTACCCCTAGCTCAATACTATAGGGCTCTGCAAGGTGTAGTTTGCTGTGGCACCAGAGTTCACTGTCAAAAAGGCTAAGCATCTCACCAAACTAAAAATCCTGGCATGGAGTTGCATGGATACAACCTAAACCACCAACATTCTTTAAAAGAGTCATCTAAAGACCTTATAACACAAACAATGATTTCAACAATGACAGTGGCATCAATCTGCATTCGTTCTACAGCAGGCATGGGCAAACTTCAGCCCTCCAGGTGTTTTGGACTTCAACTCCCACAATTCCTGGCTTCAGGCTCTTTTCTTTTCCCCCTCAGTCACTTAAGTGGCTGAGGGGGAAAAGGAAAGAGTATGAGGCCAGAAATTGTGGGAGTTGAAGTCAAAAACACCTGGAGGGCCTGTTCTATAGTAGATGCACTTTGCTTTTCAATCAATTCAGGAGAGGTTACTGTGGGCCTACATAGATGTAGTGCGGAGAAATGATGGAAATACCATTATTAAATAAATACTATTAATACTATTTCTAACACCACCATCAATAATAATAATAATAATCTGTCAGGAGTGCTTTGATTGTGTGTTCTGATATGGCAGGAGGCTGGATTGAATGACCCTTCCAAATTTATGGTTATATTATTCCATTTTTTAATATTTCCGCTTCCCTCCCTTTAATCAGACTCAAGAGAAGCGCCCACAAAACTTCCCAATTAATAATAATAATTTTATTTCTTACCTGCCTCTTCTCATGGCCCAGGCACGTTACAACACAGGAAACAACACATAATTGTATGTGTTTTTTAAGGAAGTTATATTGTATGCACATAATCTTGCAAAAGAGGGAGAATTACAGGCAGTGCGCAAGTTATGAACAAGATAACAACATAGAATCAAGAATAGAATCAAGAATCAAAGAAGGGAATCCAACCCAGTCAATGAGAACAAGAGGAGTGGCGTAGTTGTGATGTATCCACATGCATAGCAGGGGTCTGTCCCTAATTTTTAATTAGGCAAAATTAAATTGAATTTGTAGGTAAGACCAACAGGTGAACTTTTAATGTGTAACTCCAGCCATATATATATATATATAGAGAGAGAGAGAGAGAGAGAGAGAAGGGGTGTGTGTTAGGTTTGGATAGCATAGAGAAAGGGTTAACACCCTTGTAGTGTTTGTTTTGCTGTCTGAGCCCCTATTCAGAAGATTCCCGATTTCCCTTCACTGGGTTGTTATGAGTTTTCCGGGCTGTGTGGCAGGCGTCCTCAGAGGTTGAGGGGTCTGTTGGAAACTAGACAAGTGGAGTTTATAAATCTGTGAAAGTCCAGGGTGTGAGAAAGAACTGTCTGCTTGAGGCAGGTGTGAATGTTGCAATTGGCCACCTTGATTAACACTGAATGGCTTTGCTGCTTCAAAGCCTGGCTGGTTGCTGCCTGGGAGAATCCTTTGTTGGGAAGTGTTAACTGGCCCTGATTGATTCTTGTCTGGTATTTCCCTGTTTTTTGAGTGTTGCTCTTTATTTAGTGTCCTGATTTTAGAGTTTTTTGAAAGTGGTAGCCAGATCTTGCTCATTTTCATTGTTTCCTCCTTTCTGTTCAAACTGCCCACATGCTTATGGATTTCACTGGCTTCTTTGTGCAGTCTGACATGCTGGTTGTTAGAGTGGTCCAGCATTTCTGTGTTCCCAAAAAATATGCTGTGTCAGCCATAGCAGAGCACCTGATGAACGAACCTGGATACCCCTGTTCTTAACTGTAAATCGTTTTTAAGTCAGATGTTAGTAACTCGGGGACAGCCGGTAATTCTCTCTTGGGCAATTATATGCATAGAATGCAGTTCAAACAGTATTTAACACATACAGCATACAACCCACAGTACAACAAAAGTCAAACCTTCCCTATGGTATCCAAAGTGTGTGTGTGTGCATGCGTGTATGTATATGGATGCTATTACACTTTTAAAAGGTACCTCTTCCAACTTGCATACAAATTCAACTTAAGAACAAACCAACCCACAGAACGGATCTCGTTCGTAACTTGGGGACTGCCTGTATACCATTCAGTGTAATACCCCCCCCCCCCAATGGAGGGGCAATGCAAACACCAGGGTGTTAACCCTTCCCTATACTATCCAAAGCATATGTGTGTGTGTATAATACGGCTGGTGTTACACTTTTAAAAAGGTACCTCTTCCAACTCCAGCAAAGTAAATAAACTTGCATACAAATTCAACTTAAGAACAAACCAACCCACAGAACGGCTCTCGTTCTTAACTTGAGGACTGCCTGTATACCTTTCAGCGTAATACCCACCATAGAGGGACAATGCAATTTGAAGCAAGGAAAATCTCCACCAGGGTGTTAACCCTTCCCTATGCTATCCAAAGTGTGTGTGTGTATAATATGGCTGGCGTTACCTATTCCAACTTCCATACAAATTCAACTTAAGAACAAACCATCCCACAGAACGGCGTTGGTTGGTAACTTGGGGACTGCCTTCCCTATGCTAACCAAAGTGTGTGTTTGTGTTTGATACGGCTGGTGTGACACTTTAAAAAACTACCTGTTCCGACTTGCATACAAACTCAACTTAAGAACAAACCAACCCACAGAACGGCTCTCGTTCGTAACTTGGGGGCTGCCTGTATATCATTCAGTGCAATACCCTCCATGGAGGGGCAATGCAATTTGAAGCAAGGCAAACTCCACCAGGGTGTTAACCCTTCCCTATACTATCCAAAGTGTTTGTGTATAATATGGCTGGTGTTACACTTTTAAAAGGTACATGTTCCGACTTCCATACAAATTCAACTTATGAACAAAGCAACCTACAGAACTGCTCTTGTTTGTAACCTGGGGGGCTGCCTGTATTCAGTGTAATACCCTTCATGGAGGGACAAGGAAAACTGCACTAGGGTGTTAACCCTTCCTTATGCTATCCAAAGCATATGTGTATAATATGGCTGGTGTTACACTTTTTAAAAAGTACCTGTTCCAACTTCCATACAAATTCAACTTATAAACAAAGCAACCTACAGAACGGCCCTTGGTCATAACTTGGGGGCTGCCTTCCCTATGCTATCCAAAGCGTGTGTGTGTAATACGGCTGGTGGAAGTACCTGTTCTGACTTCCATACAAATTCAACTTAAGAACAAAGCGACCTACAGAACAGCTCTCGTTCGTAACTTGGGAACTGCCTGTATATCATTCAGTGTAATACCCTCCATAGAGGGGCAATGCAATTTGAAGCAAAGCAAACTCCACCAGGGTGTTAACCCTTCCCTATGCTACCTGTTCTGACTTCCATACAAATTCAACTTAAGAACAAAGTGACCTACAGAATGACTCTTGTTCGTAACTTGGGGGCTGCCTGCATTCAGTGTAATACCCTCCATGGAGGGGCAAGTCAAACTCCACCAGGGTGTTAACCCTTCCTTCTGCTATCCAAAGCGCGCGTGTATGTATAATACGGCTGGTGTTACAGTTTTAAAAAAGTACCTGTTCCGACTTGCATACAAACTCAACTTAAGGACAAACCATCCCACAGTAGGGCTCCATGGAGGAGCAATGCAATTGGAAGCAAGTCAAACTCCACCAGGGTGTAAACCCTTCCCTATGCTATCCAAAGAGTGTGTGTGTGTGTGTGTGTATGGCTGGCGTAACACTTTTAAAAAGTACCTGTTCCGACTTGCATACAAACTCAACTTAAGAACAAACCATCCCACAGAACGGCTCCCGTTCGTAACTTGGGGGCTGCCTGTCTCTGCCTAACAGAAGTGAGACCTGCCTTGGAGGAGGCGGGAGGGAGGCCAAACTCGAGCGGCGCCTTTGGAGCAACTTTGGGAAACTCCTCTGCCCGGGGGCGTCTGAGGGGGAGAACTGGGTGGAAGTTGGCTCACCTTTGAGGAACTCGGCGGCTCCCACCAGCTGCTCCGAGGCGGCGGAAGGCGGGGCGGGCTCCATGCGGAAGAGGGCGCGGAGCTGCGAGGAGGCGCGGGAGGAAGCCGCCTCCGCCGCCGCGCTCATGGCTGCGTCTGCCTCCCGCTTCTCCTCCTCCTCCTCCTCCTCCGCCGCCGCCTCCTTCGCATCCTCCTGGGGCAGCCCGAGAGAAGGAAGGAGTGCGGCTGGGCTGGGCTGAGCCGGAGGGAGCGCGAGAGAGAGGGAGGGAGGGAGGGAAGGAGGAGGCTCCTCCGCCCCGCCCTCACCCGCCTTAAAGGGACCGCCGCCCCGTTACCAGGCACCCGGGAGGCCGCCGCGGCGATGGCAACCGCGTTGCCGGGGCTTTGTTACATACAGAGCGGAGGAAGGAGGAGGAGGAGGAGGAGGCAAGCCCTTCCACACAGCTACATACAATCCACACTGAACTGCATCACATGACAGTGTGGACTCAGATAACCAAGTTCAAAGCACATGTTGTTTCATATTCTGGGTTATAGTGCTGTGTGGAAGGGCCCAGAGAGAGAGAGAAAGTCTGAGGGGAAAGGGACCTGTCAATCTCCACACAGGAACTTTTTCCCGCCTTTCTTCTTCAGGCCCCGCCTCCCGGGGTTTCAAAAGAAAGGCCCTGACTGTCCAAAGGCATAAAGATGAATCAAACCCCACATGATCTGCTTTGAACTGGAGTATATGGCAGTGTGGACCCAGGGCCCTGCCACACAGCCCTAGATCCCAGAATATCAAGGCAGGAAATCCCACATTATATGAGTGTGGACTCAGATAACCCAGCTCAAAGCAGATATTGTGGGATTTTCTGCCTTGATATTCTGGGTTAGATGGCTGTGTGGAAGGGCCCAAGTGTTTCCTATGAATTAAACAGGATGGCTTGAATTGTAGAGTGGGGCCCCTTCCACGCAGTTGTACACAATCCACATTGAACTGGATTATATGGCAGTGTAGACTTAGGGCCCTTTCACACAGCCATATAACCCAGAAAATTATTATTATTATTATTATTATTATTAACTTTTTTTGTACCCCGCTAGCATCTCCTGAAGGACTCGATGCGGCTTACAAAGGCCAAGGCCTCAATACACAACATAACAATACAAACCTAAAGCAAGTTAAAAACAATTAAAGCAATATTAAACAACAAAACAACAAGCAATAAACAATACACCAAAAATCAAGGCAGATATTTATTATTTATTTGTCGTGTCAGGACAACCAGTCAAATTATATTACATATTATATATATATATATATATATATATATATATATAGTGGATTATCTCCCTTGATATTGATATTGATATTGGTAATATAATGTAATATCAAGGCAGATAATCCACAATATATGCTTTGAACTGGGTTCCTGAGTCCACACTGCCATATAATCCAGTTCAAAGCAAATATTGCGGATTATCTGCCTTGATAGGGAGCCCCCAGTGGCGCAAGGGGTTAAAGCACTGAGCTGCTGAGCTTGTTGACCAAAAGGTTGCAGGTTCGAATCTAGGGAGTGGTGTGGGCTTCTACTGTCAGCCCCAGCTTCTGCCAACCTAGCAGTTCGAAAACACGCAATATATGAGTAGATCAATAGGTACTGTTCCGGTAGGAAGGTAACGGCGCTCCATGCAGTCATGCCGGCCACATGACCTTGGAGGTGTCTATGGACAATGCCGGCTCTTCGGCTTAGAAATGGAGATGAGTGTTGTTGTTCATTCGTTCAGTCGTCTCCGACTCTTCGTGACCTCATGGACCAGCCCACGCCAGAGCTCCCTGTCGGCCGTTACCACCCCCAGCTCCCTCAAGGTCAGTCCAGTCACTTCAAGGATGCCATCCATCCATCTTGCCCTTGGTCGGCCCCTCTTCCCTTTTCCTTCCATTTTCCCCAGCATCATTGTCTTCTCTAAGCTTTCCTTTCTTCTCATGATGTGGCCAAAGTACTTCAACTTTGTCTCTAGTATCTTTCCCTCCAGTGCGCAGTCGGGCTTTATTTCCTGGAGGATGGACTGGTTGGATCTTCTCGCAGTCCAAGGCACTCTCAGAACTTTCCTCCAACACCACAGCTCAAAAGCATCGATCTTCCTTCGCTCAGCCTTCCCTAAGGTCCAGCTCTCACATCCGTAGGTGACTACAGGGAATACCATGGCGTTGACTAGGCGGATCTTTGTTGCCAGTCTGATGTCTCTACTCTTTACTATTTTATCGAGACTGGACATTGCTCTCCTCCCAAGAAGTAAGCGTCTTCTGATTTCCTGGCCACAGTCTGCATCTGCAGTAATCTTTGCACCTAGAAATACAAAGTCTGTCACGGCCTCCACATTTTCTCCCTCTATTTTCAAGTTGTCAATCATTCTTGTTGCCATAATCTTGGTTTTTTTGATGTTTAGCTGCAACCCAGCTTTTGCGCTTTCTTCTTTCACCTTGATTAGAAGGCTCCTCAGCTCCTCCTCGCTTTTGGCCATCAGAGTGGTGTCATCTGCATATCTGAGGTTGTTAATGTTTCTTCCAGCAATTTTCACCCTAGCTTGGCATTCATCAAGCCCCGCAGATCGCATGATGTGTTCTGCATACAAGTTAAAAAGGTTGGGTGAGAGGATGCAGCCTTGCCGTACGCCTTTCCCGATCTTGAACCAGTCTGTTGTTCCATGGTCAGTTCTTACTGTTGCTACTTGGTCCTTGTACAGATTCCTCAGGAGAGAGACAAGGTGGCTTGGGATGCCCATCCCACTAAGAACTTGTCACAATTTATTATGATCCACACAGTCAAAGGCTTTAGAATAGTCAATGAAGCAGAAGTAGATGTTTTTCTGAAACTCCCTGCCTTTCTCCATTATCCAGCGGATATTGGCAATTTGGTCTCTCGTTCCTCTGCCTTTTCTAAACCCAGCTTGTACATCTGGCAACTCTCCCTCCATGTATTGCTGGAGTCTTCCTTGCAGGATCTTGAGCATTACCTTACTGGCATGAGAAATAAGGGCCACTGTACGGAAGTTTGAGCAGTCTTTCGCATTTCCCTTTTTTGGTATGGGGATATAAGTTGATTTTTTCCAGTCTGATGGCCATTCTTGTGTTTTCCATATTTGCTGGCAAATGGCATGCATCAGCTTGACAGCATCATCTTTTAAGATTTTAAACAGTTCAGCTGGGATCCCGTCGTCTCCTGCTGCCTTGTTGTTAGCAATGCTTCTTAAGGCCCATTCAACCTCACTCCTCAGGATGTCTGGTTCTAATTCATTCACACACCGTCAAAACTATCCTCAATATTATTATCCTTCCTATACAGATCTTCTGTATAGTCTTGCCACCTTCTCTTGATCTCTTCAGCTTCTGTTAGGTCCCTGCCATCTTTGTTTCTTATCATACCAATTTTTGCCTGAAATTTACCTCCAATGTTCCACACCCCAAGTCAGACATGACTGGACTTTATGTCAGGGGACAACCTTTACTTTTACCTATCTGCCTTGATATTCTGTGTTATATGGCTGTGTGGAAGGGCCCTTGGGAGAGATCAAATGAGCCATCTAGTCCAACCCCGTCATGCAGGGAAAGCACAATCAGAGCACCCCCAGCAGATGTCCATCCAGCTTCCACCACACCCCGAAACAGAGTTCCGCTGAAGGCCCTTTCACACAGCCATACAACCCAGAATATCATCTGGGTAGATAATCCACAATATCCGATTTGAACTGGGTTTTATCTGAGGCCCCTTCCACACAGTTGTAGTTTTACAAGATCTTTAGCCTTCTCTTCCAAAGAGTGTTGGTGCCTCACCAAATAGCAACTCCCGTAGTATTGACGAATTGCAGTTCAAATTATGTCAAACCACATTAAGTTGACAGTCTGTGTGCCAAAAGTAAATACTGGCATTGTCTCAACTTTTCAAATTTACGGCTGGAATTTATAGAGCGTCTTTATATCTTTTTAAATACCGCCACTGAGTGCAATGACTTCAGGGCAGGGTTGGCCTGTCATATTTCCTGAAACGCCTCAGATAGAAAACCCCTAAATAAAAATGGTTGTTGTGTGCCTAAGGCAACCACACCTTATGCACACCTTGCGCACACACCTCAGGGTTATATATTGAAGTTATAGAACTCCAATATGCTGATGGCAATGTAGCCTGTGCTCATTCAGAAGAAGATCTACAAGCCACTCTAATCACCTTTGCAGAAGCATTCAAAAAGCTTGGCCTCTCACTTAACATTGAGAAAATCAAAGTGATTTACCACCAGCCAATCCCTCTGCAATGCCAGAAATACAGCTTAATGGTGTAACATTAGAAAATGTTGACCATTTTCACTACCTTGGCAGCCATGTCTTCACAAAAGTCAACATCGTTGCCAAAATATAACACCATCTGAATTCTGCAAGTGCAGCATTTTTCCGAATGAAGCCGAGAGTCTTTGAGGATGAGGACATTCGTAGGGATTCCAAGATGCTTGTTTATGAAGCTAAGATAATGTCCTTCCAACTCTCTTATATGCCTGTGAAACATGGATCATCTATAAACATCACTTTCAACTTCTGGAATGATTCCATCAGTGTCACCTCCAAAAAAATCCTGCAAATCTCTTGGGATGAAAACAGACAAATGTCAGTGTTCTGGAAGAAGCAAAGACCACTAGCATTGAATTGATGATCCTCCACCATCAATTTCACTAGACTGGCCATGTTCTCTGAATGCCCGATCAATGTCTCCCAAAGCAGTTACTCTGCTCTCGACTCAAGAACAGAAAACGTAGTGTTGGTGGACAGCAAAAGTGATTTAAAGATGGGCTTAAAGCTGATCTTTAAAAACGTGGCATAAACACTGAAAACTGAGAAGCCCTGGCCCTCAAACGCTCTGAGGTCCGCTGTTACCAACAGTGCTGTGGAATTCAAAAAGGATGAAAGGGAGAAACATGCCAAGAGGTGACTGCTTTCCATATGGAAATGTATGTCTCACTGTGAAGGACCATGCAGATCCAGATTAGGTCTCTACAATCACTTGTGGATGCATTGCCAAGACTTTCCCCTTGGAAAACAACCATACTCGGCCATGAAGGATAACCTATGATGATGGCAGCCACAAGGCGGCACTATTAGATTTTTCTTGACAAGATTTTCTTGGCATTGCCTTCCTCTGAGGCCGAGAGAGTGCGACTTATCCAAAGTCACTCTGGGTTTTATGGCTGAGCAGGCATTTGAACCCTGATCTC